AAAAAAATTACCCAGGGCTGGGTGCCACGGCCCATGCCTGTAATATCCCAGCACTTTGGGAGGCCGAGGCAGGTGGATCACCTGAGGTCAGGAGTTCAAAACCAGCCTGGAACATGGGGAAACCTCGTCTCTACTAAAAATGCAAAAATTAGCCAGGCGTGGTAGCAGGTGCCTATAATCCCAGGTACTCGGGAGGCTGAGGCAGGAGAATTGCTTGAACTCGGGAGGCAGAGGTTGCAGTGAGCGGAGATCGTGCCACGGCACTCCAAACTGGGAGACGGAGCAAGACTCAGTCTCAAAGACAAAGAAACAAACAGAACTTAGCCAGGCACTTCTAGTCCTAGCCACTTAGGAGGCTAAGGCTGGAGGATCACTTGAGCCCAGGAGTTTGAGGTTGCAATGAACTATGATCACACCACTGCACTTCAGCCTGAGCGAAAGAGATATGTTGTCTCAAATAAATAAATAAGTATATACATTCATTATTCATGTGTGTACTTTACTTCTCCATTAAGTTATACATAAGATGGTTGTGGATATGAATTTCCAAATCTCTACCACTTACTGCTTGTGCAAGTTATTTGACTTCTCAGAACCTGTTTCTTCATTATTAAAATGAACAAGATTAACCCTTTACAGTGTTATATTAAAAGGTTTAGGCCAAGCATGGTGGCTCACACCTGTAATCCCAGAACTTTGGGAGGCCTCTGCGTGAGGATCACGAGGTCAGGAGATTGAGACCATCTTGACTAACCCAGTGAAACACCATCTCTACTAAAAATACAAAAAAATTAGCTGAGCTAAAGAGTTAAGGGGCCAGGTGCGGTGGCTCACACCTGTAATCTCAATACTGTGAGAGGCTGAGGCAGGAGTTCAAGACCAGCCTGGCCAACATAGCAAGAGCCCCGTCTCTATTTAAAAAAAAATTTTTTTAAAAAAGAGTTAATGTACATCAACTGCTGCTTGGTATAATGCTTAGCATCTACTGAGTTTCAACAAATGTTTGTTTAATGGCAATCTAGATAATGAATCTGATCCAGCAATTGCTTATAGAATGCAAAAATGTTAAGATGCATTTCCCCTTTGGGAGACCGAGGCAGGCGGATCACGAGGTCAGGAGATCGAGACCAGCCTAGCCAACAGGGTGAAACTCTGTCTCTACTAAAAATAAAAAATTAGCTGCGTGTGGTGGCAGGTGCCTGTAATCCCAGCTACTCTGGAGGCTGAGGCAGGAGAATAGCTTGAATCACGGAGTCAAAGGTTGGTGTGAGCCAAGATCGCGCCACTGCACTCCAGCCTGGCAACAGGGTGAAAACTCCATCTAAAAAAGGTGCATTTCCCTCAATAAATCCAATTTAATAAGGCAATCTTAATACAACTGGAACCTGCTACCCACCTCTCTTCTAACATAGATGCCCACAGAAGATAAAATGGAGGTTCCTATGCACTTTACTCCAGAAATGCCATAATACAATTCATATTCATGTTCTTCCAGTATGAGACTGAATATCCATAATTTATAACTCACATTACTTCAGTGCAGTTAAACAATATGTTAGCTTACCCCTGAAGAGATATAAGGGGTAAAATGGTCAGGCAAAGTTAAACAAAACTCTGAAATTGGTGGTCTGCCTGGAAGTGTAAGACGGTTGTTCTGCTGTTTACTCATTCTTTAATTATAATTTGCTGTCATCAATTCAATCTCTACCAAAAATTCCAATCAAATGTCAATTACATCTATGACAGCATTTTTCCATTTATACACTTCGAATCCACTGTTCAATTTAAGAGGGAAAAAAATAACCACTTCAAAATTTATTATAGTGAAGAGGAATTTACTATAGTGAATTAAGGAAACTGCAGAAAAGTGGAAAATCGCCAAAAAAAAAATATTATCTCAACGTTTGCACTGCACACTTAACTGTATACTGACATATAAGTTGTACAACACAGAAGTCAGAAGCCTGGGAAGGGTTCTGGAAGATGGACATAGCTTTAAATCTGACACCACCACTTTCTAGCTGTGTAATCTAAGCATGTTATTTCTAGTTGTGTTCCTCTTCATCTGTAAATCAGAGACTGTAACAGTATGAACCTCATAGGGTTGTTGTATTAAATGAGGTTATGTATGCTAAGTGTTTACAAAGTACTTACATCTGAAATAGTAAGTGGGATTCTACCTAGCAGTGCTTAGCACTAAGGTTCTTCACAAATACAGCTGAATAAATGAATATTTACAGATTTTATTTTATTTTTTTTTTGAGACGGAGTTTCGCTCTTGTTACCCAGGCTGGAGTGCAATGGCCTGATCTCGGCTCACCGCAACCTCCGTCTCCTGGGTTCAGGCAATTCTCCTGCCTCAGCCTCCTGAGTAGCTGGGATTACAGGCACGCGCCACCATGCCCAGCTAACTTTTTGTATTTTTAGTAGAGACGGGGTTTCACCATGTTGACCAGGATGGTCTCGATCTTTTGACCTCGTGATCCACCCGCCTCGGCCTCCCAAAGTGCTGGGATTACAGGCTTGAGCCACCGCGCCTGGCCCTACAGATTTTATATAAGGGAATAAGTGTATCACTAACTTTAGGTCTGTCCTAAGTCAAATTAATAGCAGAAACACTATTAGGGGGCATTCTACAGTCTACAAAGCCCTTCTGACACCCATATGTTCATTTGATCTCCAGAACATCCTCAGGGAGTAGATATTTTTAAGACAGTCCTTTCAGAGATAAGGAAACTGGTAACAAAGTGCCAAGGCTACCCACCCTATTGGTCTCCTCCAACCATCCTCCAGCTCAGGGTTAAGTGATTAGTGGCAAATGTTCTTAACCTGTATTAACATAACATTCCTGCAAGTTACCACCCTCTTCAAGCATAGTCAAGCACAGGAGTCCAGGAACAAGCCCAAAGTAATAAATCCCGTCAGAAGCCACTGACGACACTTATCATGTTGCATTGTTTCCTCACTCGGTGTCCTCCCACAACTTTAGGGCGGGGGCCAGTTCTGTGTGTAGGTGCCCCCTCCCCGACCGGAACCCCCAACACGAAACCTGGTATCCAAGCGGCCCCAGTAAACATTTGTGGAAATGGCATGGGATGCTGCTGGCAGAAGGTTTTCCAGAGACCCGAACTGACGCCAACTCCGCGGTGGGGATTAAGCATCTCCGGCAGATACAGACTCGTTGGGCGGAGAGGGTCCGACCGGTAACAGGGCTGGGAAGGATGGTTGAGAGCTGGCGCCGCTAAGGGAAACCAGGGAAGCTGACACGCTGAGGGCACACGGGCACAGACGAGGCGGGTCTGGCCGCAGCGATGGCTGGAAGGCTGGGGACCAACAGAGGCTCGGGGGCCAGGGGAATCAGGGCAGTTGGGAGTCTGGGGGGAGGGGGCCGGCCTGCTGGTCTGAGAAGGATCTGAGCCCAATCTGAGGAGGGTTCTGAACTCCTCTAGGGGCCCACTCCCCATCCCGCGGAGGCATTTGCTGCACCGAGTACTCGCTGCTACCTGAAACTGCAGCAGCTTCTCTGTCTGCTCCTGGGTTAGATCCCGCTCCTCAGGCGCCGCCATTTTGCCGCCGCCTCTACGCTCCTGACCCGTCGGCACCGTCACCCGCCGGAACTGACCTCAGCCACAACTACATCCGGTCTGAAAGGCTGCCGGCGCGCAACTGCGTCGGCGCGAGCTGGCCCACTAACCACCCCCCCCGCCTCCACCCCAGGCCGCCGCCAGAGGGCGCCACGCTCGGGCCCATCCCGAACACTTACGGAAACTGCCGAGGGATTGTTGGTACAAGTAGCCTTTACCATTTAAGCAACGAAAGGATCTGCTCCAGACCTGAGATTCCAGCGCAGTCTCCCAGAGCCGACAGGGCCCGAATGTGCCTCGAGAAGCTCCAGAACGTCCCGAATGACATTTGGCTGATTTTGGCTGCTCTCTAATCATTTTCCGGCAACCTCAAATACTCTTGGAGGTTCCTCTGGAGATGTGGCCGTCCTGAATCAGCCGTTTGATCGTTAGCCCCTGCCCTAAAGTTTCCAAAAGGCCCTGACCATCTCGGGAGGTTCCGAAAGGCTCTGCATACTGGCGCTGCATTTCCGAAGCGGAAGCTGTGGGCAGGCTTCGGCCACCTTTCCATTGCCGCTTCGGGGGTCTCTTGCTAGGAAGGTCTGGACTCGGCTCCCCGAATCCTCGACAATTCATGGCGCCCCCAGCCTTCGGCAGAGCTTTCCATCCACCCCCGTGGCTAGGGCGCTGGAGCCCCAGCCCGCCGTCTGCTTTTCCGTGCCTCGAACCTTGTCCCTTCGCACTATCGCTGCACTGGCCCCTTGTCCCTGTGACAGGCGAAGAAAGATCCCTGGACAGGGATCAGGAGACCCGGGTTCCAGTTGCCACCTTGCCAAGTGCTGGACATCCTGGTGCAAACCACTTGGGCTCCATTTTGCCATTGGTTGAATGAGATTCACCAAGCGCCCCTGACGTGCTGCCGCTGCTCCTTCTCGAGGCAGCCCCCTGCCTTTCCCTGAAGCGTTTACACTGCCTATCACCACCCCACAATCTCTATCTTCCTCTGCACGTCTCTTGCCCCTTCTAGTCCGCCATTTCTCTTTTTCTT